TTTCAGTGAGACCACTATTTTGCAAATGATTTTCTTGGCTCTGCCTATAGCCAAGAAAATTCGTCAGACCCTGACATTACAGCAGTGATGTCAATTTACCTCAGTGCAGAAGGTCATAGCTGTCATAGCTTGTCATAGTTGTCAATGGAATCTGTATTTGCCCCACTGTCAGTGGGCAAATGACTTTGTGGGATGTCACACAAGGAAGAACTCCTCATTTCCCACCTGCTCATTTCATTTGGGTGACTGACATTCATACTCATTAACACCAGTCAGTAAAATATCTTAGCTGCACTGTGCTCCTTGCAAAGCATCAAACTATGGGTAGACAATTGTCCAGTTTTGATAGTTAAGGGCTCAGAATACAATAGCTTCTGTTCCTTAACTACACATGGGGTAAATCAACTAGTAGGATATAAACCTCATTGATGTAAAATTCCTTTAACACAAGCAGCAGATTTATGTTTCAGCCCTGGAAGCGAAGGTTCAGGTGATAGTCGATAGTATGGTCACTGAACTGTTTTGCTATTAAGTATTGAAATATGAAATATATTGAAGGAACTCCTGACACTTTGAATTTAAAAACTATCTGATTTATTCCAGGTAGTCAAACTAGGTCAGGATGAGCAAAGGTTTTCAAAGGATGGTGCAGGTTCTGTGCCAGGTTTTTTGGCTGGGTGGCTGGGTGGGTGGAATAAAGGTTGAGGGGTGGGGAGGGACATTGAGGTGGAAGTTTTATTCATTTATTTAGTTCATAAAATTCATACTCCCTCGATTCTAAAAAGAAACCCTCAAGATTGTTCCTACTCCTTATTGGGAGAACACAGGCAGAGTGGTAATGCTGATTCAGAGCTGTGCATTTCTTTAACATCTCAGCACTGATTAAGTCTGAAAACCCCATAAATCTAAGTTACTAAAATCTCCATGCCTTTTTTTTTAATTGAGGGCCCAGAAATGAGCAGACTCTTGTGTGACTTTAAGTGACCAGAAAAATAACGGAGATGCATAATCTCTTCCCCCGGTCCTGAGGAGACATCAGGAAAGGTATGGGTTCTACTACGGTCATGCTGATTTTTTGTAATTCATTTTCAAATGGGGAAAAAAATCTGACTCTATTATGCCTGTTATATAAGCATACTACAAACCTGAACACAGGAATGATTTCACCGACTATGGTGTGCTAAGTGTGGGCTAGGCTTTAGGTCTGGAACTAGTCCAGTTTCCATAAAAAGTTTAGAAATAAAACATAGATAGGTAAATGTACATATAGGAAGAGAGGCAGCTCCCTTATTTCGAGTCAGACCACTGGTCCATCTAGCTCAGCATTGTCTACATGGACTAGGCAGCTTTGAAAGGTTTCTGGATGAAGGTTTTCCCCAGACCTTGGTGATGCAACCTGGACCCTTCTGCATGCAAATGATGCGCTTTGCCACTGAGCTAGGGCCCTTTCCACAATGTACTGCTACATTCATTTACGTCCACTAACTTTGTGGGGTTATATGCAGCTATGGTCAGGAATCACCCTTCAATAAGGCAAAACAGTTATTTTATTTTTAAAGTAAACTATCACTTATGAGGTAGTGCAATGCAGTAGCATTACTGGTTGTTCCAATTTTAAGTGAGCCACAAAGGCACAGCGATCGAGACTGTCATACAGGAATCTGCACGCTCACCTGAGCTGAATCAGCACAAGCAAAAAGTGGTTATTCTGTTGATTCTGAGTGCTGAATTCATTCCTGCGTGTCTTATAGACACATATCCTTAGGCAATTCTGAGGTGCAGAAAGCATGAAACTACAGCCTATACTTTTCTCCACCTGCAGACCTCTCTACGAGATCTGGTGGGGCCATTTTACTCTCTCCAGCATTCTGCGAGTTTTAGCTGTACCACTCTAAAACTCAATAGGGGCATATATATAACTTAACATGGTGGCTTTTTCCATATAAAGGTTAGGGTGCAGAGAACCTGAGTAGGCACTTAGAAAGTGCTTCTGCACTGTAATTTCACTGGTGCTGGCAGTAAGGGCAGTTGGGTGGGGTTATTTACATTGAATTCAATTTGTCTATTAACACCCAGACCATAAGAATCCACTCTGGATTCACAGTAGACTAGAAACTACGCTAAAGCTGGTCAGAGTGTTACCAATGTGCCATGTACTCATTAAGTTTGCATCTCCAGCAACTCTGTAATGTTTAGCAATTGGTTCTTATATGATTTACAGAACCAGATAGTAACTGATCACTGTTGAAGTCTTTATAAAGAAAGAATGGTATTTTCCTTTGTATTGGAAGGCAAAAACCTTTTTGCTTTGTTTTTAACATTCATTGCTGACACTATCCATCCCTGGTACTGAGCCAGATGAGATTCCCTTTGGCATCTCCTTTCCTCCAAGTTCTGTGCTGCCCAACCACTAGGAATAACAGTCAGAAGTCTGAGTGTGGTCTACTAGTGATGAGTGCAGCAGGCCACTTGCACGCAGACAATGGGTTGTGCAGTGCCAATTTGAGAAAAACAACAATGTCCCTGAATATTATAAACCCCTCACAACAAGGCCTTACAACCCCCCCCCAAATAAAATATGCACGCTTTGCTTTAGGCTGCACCAAATGAATGAGTAGGTCCTGTAATCCAACCAAATTAAGCAAAGTACAAATGGGCTCTGGAGCTGATGACAAGCAGATACGCATTAAGGTGGTTCACACATGCAAGCTGGCCACATCTTTTCTCCACATGATCCTTCTCATGTATAGGACTGAATGGCAACCCCTCCATGTGAGCTGGGCTGCACCTAAGTGCTGCTCCAGTCACACACAGGCAAATGGCTGCTGGAGCAGTTCGGTTCATACTTTCCCACATACAAGAAGAATCACACCAGAGATAACAGGTGGCCATCAGGACTTTTTCTGCACAGGAACTGCATGTGAGTTCAGAGCATTCATGAGAACACAGTGGTTCCACACTGCACCATGGATACACAATCTGCCACGATCTCATTGGGCAGTTGGATGTATGTGACACGCTGCTTCATGAGTGTCCTCTTATCCTCCGTACTTCGCAGAAACGTAAACCATTCCTATTTACTCATGAAGAAGGTGCTCCATTGCTTAGTGATGGCATTGTGATAAGCATTTGCAACCTGAGGAGAATGGACAGCAAAAACCACATAGGTGTGTGCGCAAAGGGTAAAATAGTAAAGAGGCAGTCATTGCATGGATTGTGGCCAGCCTGGTGCAATGGAAGTCTTCAAATCAAACTAAAGGGTTAACCAAAAACAAAACAAACAAAACAAACAAACCCACAGCAAAATATAGTGACAAAAATGAAAGCTCTTTACCATCTGTATGGAATATTACAGAGTTCTGCAAAGGAACAAAGTTAATTTTCTGCCATCACTTTCCCATCTCTTAAAAAAAATAAATATCAGCATTTGGCACTGGTGAAGCCACACACACAAAGGAAAGTCACGCTTCTTTTGTGTTCTTTCAATAGCATCCACATGCATGGCTGTGAAATGGATAGAGGAGATTTTTCACCCACATGGAGTGATAAATTAGTTTTCCGCCAAAAATAAATAAACATAGAAATGATACTGCAAGACCATCATAATTATAAACTGGTTCCTTAAACGTATCCCTCACTACTAAAGTTTAGTATGAATCACTGTATAAATGACTTTTATCGCAATATATCCCAATGGGAAGTATCTTTTAAAAATAGGCTGAAGGTTGCATATGGCTGCAACCAATGCTTGTTTCACCGGCCAAAATAATTTGTGTTTATTATGTTTAAAACTACTATTTCCCCCCACAGAATTGGTCAATGATATTCCATGGGTAGAGGTAGATTATGGGGTTGAAGTGATCAGATCAAAGCCCTGTAACTTTGTGTGCTCTTTGAGGAGTCTCATAAAACTGAGATAGTCCCATAACTAACCACTAGCCATGGGATATTATAATATATTCCATGATGACTAGTATTTTTATTCCCCACCCCCAATGTTGAACTAATATGAAATATAGTTTAGTCTGACTGGGAACATTTTCTTATTGCTGTCATTTATCACTATAATTAACAAATAATCATAATAAAGTACCCTGTGAGATTATCGCTCATGGCTCTTCAGAATAAGTCTGCACAAAATGGTCAGTGTTCTCCCCTTTTCAGTCAGCCTTTACTGTGAGGAGGGTTGAGGGAGCTGTAGACTGTGGACCTTTTGTGAGAAGGCATTGATGCTCCTCCTGTTCAGAGCTCTAAATGCTAAGCTTCCGTGTCGATTATGTCGCTACTTGTTACAAAATTGGTTGGGTCGCGTGATGTGGAATAAACACCCTTACATTTAGCCTTGTTCCCTTCTGAATCACATTGTGTTTCTGTGGGAAGTCTAAGCTATCATTCTAATGGGTGGCTAACCATCTGAAAAAAATACATGGTTGTCTCATGAAATCTGCATGTATTGATGTAAGTTTATCCTTTAAGGAGGCACCTGGTTTCTCTAACGTAAATGGTGTTCTGCAACTCAAAAAGCATCTAGGAACAAGTGGGGGAAAAAAATATCCAGGGTGTGTGGGAATTGTGTACGTGTGCGCTTGTTTTGCTGGGCATGACCTGCGCCCTTGACTCCCAGTATGCCAGGAAGCATTTCGCTGATGGGAACCACCGTGATGTATTAATGCAGCCCGGCAAACATAAGCTGTAAATTTCTAAAAAATATTCTTCCACTAGCTGTATTAACTCTTAAAATCTTTTGAGTGTCCCTTTAAACAGGACCAGTATTAAGGCTCCTAAAGCGTGCTCTCCTAAGTTTCACTTGTCAACTTCTCCTGTACCATTTTGTCCCTGCAACCTGTATGTCCCACACATTGCTCCATGTGTGGTGGTGGGACAGTAATGGGATAATGTGCTACCCATTGTGCTAAGAAAGCAGTCTGACTGAATCTTTCAATCTCTACAAAGGATGGAGGTTAAAGGTCAGATGGACATTCCTCTAAGAGGTTTCCTACCTGCTCTGTTAATTTCTAACATTTCTTCTTGGGCGAGTGGGCATGTGTCGCTCTGAGTACTGTGGTGTGGAGAGTTTATGACAGATTTACAATAATTGGGGGATCCCAGCTGGGGCGGCCGTGGGATATGCTTCTTTTTTTTCTTTGGTAGCTTCTGCTTAGCCATAGCTAAGGAGTAATACATTCCGAAATTGTTCACAATGACGGGTACAGGCATGGCAATGGTCAGCACGCCTGCAAGAGCACAGAGGGCCCCCACCAGCATGCCTGACCAAGTCTGAGGATACATGTCTCCGTAGCCCAGGGTAGTCATGGTGACAACAGCCCACCAGAAGCCAATGGGGATGTTTTTAAAGTGTGTGTGTTCGCTGGCACTAGGATCATTGGGTTTAGCACCTATTCTCTCAGCGTAGTAGATCATTGTGGCAAAGATTAAGACGCCCAATGCCAAGAAGATGATGAGCAGCAAGAACTCGTTTGTGCTGGCACGGAGGGTATGACCCAAGACCCGCAGCCCTACAAAGTGGCGGGTCAACTTGAAAATTCGCAAGATTCGTACGAATCGGACGACTCGCAGGAAGCCCAAGACGTCCTTGGCAGCTTTGGAAGACAGGCCACTGAGTCCAACCTCCAAGTAGAAAGGCAGAATGGCCACAAAGTCAATGATGTTCAAGGTGTTTTTGATAAATTCCATCTTGTTCGGGCAGAAAATGACCCTCATTAGGAACTCAAAAGTAAACCAAACGACGCAGACCCCTTCAATGTAGGTGAGGAAGGCCTCTGTCTCTGCCTCCCGATAGATGCGCACGTGGGTATCATTCCCAACAATTTCCGTCTCCGTCTTGTTAACGATGGGATTAAATCTCTCATGGGTCTCGAGGCAAAAGGTAGTGATGGAAACCAGAATGAAGAAGAGGGAGGCAAATGCGATATACTGTAGAGAGAAAAAACAGGAGAAAGCTGTTAGACAGTAAAGTTTGTTTGTGAGGAGGGGAAAACACAAAGCATATAGAGATTTGATTGTGAGACATTAAAGAAAATAATACCAGCAGAAATGGCGCTGCCTGGCTGCAAGTGCTCAACACCCATTTGGCATAGCAACAAGGTCCATGGCCAAGTTAGCTTATGATCATTGAAGTGGCTTACCTACAGTTTAGGAAACTTGTATTGAACTGTCTTGTTCCATTGTAAAATATTTTCTAGAGCTGCCAATACCCTGTAGTTTGGGGACTTATTTGATGCCTCATATCATGGGACAACCTGGTCCTGATATAGATCCAAACTGAATCAGGGGACTTGTACAGCCCTAATTGTTTAAATAGGATTAAAAAGCCCAATTAAGCATATTGTCAGTGGCAATTCTTTGCCTGTGTCTCCTCCTTTGCTCCTGTGAGATTCTTTGCCTGTGTCTCCTCCTTTGCCCCCTCTCTTTGTGGCCCACTACAGTGGTACCTCTGGTTACGTACTTAATTCATTCTGGAGGTCTGTACTTAACCTGAAACTGTTCTTAACCTGAAGCACCACTTTAGCTAATGGGGCCTCCTGCTGCCGCCCTGTGATTTCTGTTCTCATCCTGAAGCAAAGTTCTTAACCCGAGGTACTATTTCTGGGTACTATTTCTGAAGCGTATGTAACCCGAGGTACCACTGTACAGGTTTAATTAGGGTTTAGAACTATGATTAAACACAGGGTCACCCGGCTGCTCTGGATTACTCTGAGTGGACCTGACCCAGGACAATCTGGGGATGTCTTGACTTGCTCTGGGCCAAGCCCAGATTGGTTCAGGATCTGGGATTTGTCCCAAGACAGGGCACAGCCCTAGTGTTTTGTTTCACTCTGCATCTCAAAATCAAATTCTTTTCAGAAAAAGTATATGTTTAGATTCTGTACTAAAGAGGATATGTGAATCCCAGTTTGATCTCCTGCACATTCTGAAATAATATGCAGCTGATGCAGCAATTGGGCCTGAACTGGGCACCATGCAGTTGTGCAATGACAAGGAGGCTGGCCCAGGATCCAACGTATCACAGATTGGATAAGTCCCACCATCTTCCCACTTTAGAAGGCCAGCTTAGTTGAGAGCTGGGGAGACGGTCATCTCCATTCATTCGACACACGCACATGCCCAGCTTATGGGGAGGGGGTTGGTTTCCTTGCTCACTCACTGAACCAAAAAATGAATCTAAAATATATTGGCCAAGGTAACACAGGTAAATAGGACAAACCAAAGGTGGCATCAGGAACAAGCAAGCAGGTATAGTTTTGCTAAAACAAATAGTTTCAAAATAAAATAAGGAGCAGCAGGCTATCAAGGCTGGCTCAGAACTGAGCTCCCAATTGCCCTATTTTTAGAGTTGCAAAGTAGAACAAATCACTTAGGGCGGAAGAAACTTTGCTGAATATGAATTGAGGCTGACTTTTTACCACAGTCCTGTAGAGAGTCCTGACATTTCCCATAGGAGGCTTTATCAGGGAGTTTTCACACTAATATAGGGTTCCTTTTTCTTTTGGTTGGAGGAAGCCCATAATCCGCATTTATGCATATGCCACATAAATTGCCAAATAGCTTCACTGCACACACATGGAATGTCCTGGCTTATATGCAAGTGGTGTAGGCAACACAAGGGAAGTAGCCCTGTAGATATTAAAAAACCCTGTTTTGCATCTCAGAGGTGCTGGTCCACACACCTGATTTCTGTAAGATGCTAGAACAGCAGCACTGGAATCCCTTCTCCCATTCATGGCTTGTTGGCTCCTCCTTGTTTCCTATGGAGGTCAGGCAGCCCTTTCTCCCAACTACAGGAACATAGGAAGCTGCTTAGACCACTGGTTCATCTAGCGCAGTTTTGTCTATACTGACTGGCAGTGTCTGTCCAGGATTTCAGGCAGGGCATTCCCAGTTTTACCTAGAGATGGCAGGGATTGAACCTGGGACTTTTTGTATGCAAAACAGATGCTCTACCACTCAGTTATGGCTCTTCCCCCACTAAAGCTCCACTAGGGGAGGGGGAAGGTTGTGACCATCCAGATGTTGTCAGACTACAGTTCCCATCATCTCTGATTATTATCCATACTGGCTGGGACTGATGGATGGGAGTTGGAGCCCCAGCAGATCTGAAGAGTCATAGGGTCCCATAGACAGAAAATTAGTTTTAATCATTTATTTCTCCGCCTCCACACACATTCAAAACCTGACACTAATGCAGAATGGCCTGCACATATCAAGAACACATATTTACTACGTGTCTCTTCAAATTCCTCTCTTGTATTTCTTATCTTGGGGGGGGGGAGAGAACAAAATGGTTTCAGATAGAATTCTCATGGGCTTCAATAGTTCTTCACCCAAATATGATATCTGGTCCATTACTTTATCTTCATTAATATGGCAGTATTCATTCAGAAGTAAATTAATCTTTTTTAATGCTACTGCACTGTTAAAACCTCCTGAAGGTGATAACATTCTCCCAAGGACACCAAGGTTACTAAATATTGATCTTTTCTGCTTCTGCCTGTATCAATATAATCATTAGTGACAAAAGCATTACTCATATTTTACTCCAGTACTAGTACACCTTGCATGAGAACTTTCCCAATTTATCAGTTTTAAAAATAGAAATAACAAAGATAACAACAACAACAACAACAACAACAAAAAGACTTATTCACACCTATTACAACACTGCCCAGAAATGGGAAGTAAAAATCCTAGAATGTGGAACTATGTATGCAGTGACACCGTGACATGTGAAACACAAATATTTTCTAGTGAAAGATCAATGCGCAGTGTGGTAGAATAGGCCAAATGTTACCTCAGGGATAGGGCCAAATGGAGTCTTCCAAGTATCTCCATATGGCCCCCCAAACTCTGTCTATATCATAGCCCCTCTCCAAAGGTCAAACCTGTCACTGAGTGTCTTTGACTGAACTGTGTCCTTGAACACTGATAATGCCCTTTGCTTACCTTGAGGGAGGTAGCTTACTGTACAAAGGCAAAATCACATTTATTGCTCTCCCTGCTTTTGTCTGTGGTCCCACTCACCACTGGCATGCGGCCCTCAGACGTCTGCCCAAAAGGCAATGCGGCCCTTGGCCTGAAAAATGTTACCCACCTTTGTGTTAGAATGAGAAGTCCTCGTTCAAATCCTCAATTAGTCTTGAAGATCACAAGAGGGTGTTGGGCAAAGTCACAACCTACCTCTTATCAAACACCCCACACAGGTTTGTTTTGTGCATTAAAAATGGGCTGAGAGAAACGATAGACATTTTAGAGGATAGGCTAATATTTCAAACTCATCTCCAAATACTGGAAAGGGGAACAGAGGGCAATGGGAAGAAATTTAAGAAGGACAATATAAAGTGTTGCCGTAGCAAAAATCTAAAAAGCACAGGTATGTGTGATATGGGCTAGCTGCCTTAGCAACTGTACTTCTGGGAAAGAGTTGGAGTAATACAAGTTAAGAAATGCATGCTCATGCCACTTAGGATTATTAGCCATAGGCGCCCGACTCCATGGGGCTTGAGGGGGCCCGAGCCCCCCTCAAAAATTCGTTTGGGGGGGCTCCGCCCCCCAATAATCTCCGGCGCCCCTCCAGCAGAGGCCGCCATCGCCGCCCCTCCCCCAGCCCAAAATGCACAGGGAGGGCGGGCTGGCATGCCTCCTAGCCCTCCCTCCGAGCATAAAGCCTCCACCCCAATTTCCTTTTGGAGCTGATTAATAGGCGCAGCACGCTCTCCCCTATTCGCTCACGAGGAGGCGGCGCCACTTTATTTGCATATTCATGAGCTTATTTATTATTCATGAGCTTTCCCGGGCCCCCCCAATATTTTTTATAAGTCCGCGTCCCTGTTATTAGCTGAACCCTCCTTGTTACTGTTCCAAAATCCACAGCTGGGTTTTAATACTACTACTACTATTAATTTGTATCCAATTTTTCTGCCTCAAAACAGGCAGAAAACAGGCTTATGGGTGACAAATAGCAACAAAGCTTTCCTCCCAACAACACCCATCTTTTGCCTCTCCCTCACCTAGTATTGCATCTATATTTCCCCTGAATGTCAGAGAAGAGCGTCTTGCCAAGTTTACCAGATAGCAACACTTTAGATTTAATAAGATTAATAATAGTTCTCAAGGGCATCCAAAGAGCTTTACATCCATTTCTGTTCAGCAGCTAGTTTTTGGAGGGCTATTTCATAAGTGAGGTAAATGATTGAGGGTGAAGGCCTTCACACACATAAACACACACGGCCTACTTCATTACCTGTCACTTCCCTTCTTTTTACAGTTCTTCAGCAAACTATTTCCCTCCATCTAGGTCCCACCCTGTGGGGACTGGTTATAATGCTGAGAGACATTTGTGGGAGGCTCATGCAAAGCATAAAAATGCCTAAGGCTGATTATTGAAATCCCACCAACCTCTTTCTGGTCCTCTGAATTTGCCCATGATATGTATGTGGCCAGTGGTGTACATCATACTGATATACTGTTGTGGTAGTGTCTGAAGTAGGACCAGCTTTAATGTGTGAGGCAATTCTTGCCTCTGACAGACCCTTGAAAACAATTATTTCAGCATTCAATGCAAATGCCTGCTTTGTCTTGAAAAATGAAAACAACATTTTCAAAGCTGAAAGAGAACAACATATTCCCTCTGGGGGAGGCCAGCAGCAACCGAATCAAGACCAGTCACAGATGCATTTCCAAACTGTTGTTCATCCTCCCTTGTGAAACATATTTCCCCCTATGTTGTCATTCTCCTTTTCTAGGCTAGTCTTCTCTGTTGCTCGCTTCTCTATGAAGGAAGAGAGGCTGAACGCGCACCATACATTCAAAGCATATTTTCCTCACCCCTACCTGGGAGCTGTAGTTTGTTAAGGGTGCTGGGGATTTTAGTTCTGTGAGGGATAAACAAAGACTATGTTTGCTGCCAAGCAATGGCT